TGCAAATGGGACCGGGTGTAGGAACCGGAGCGCAAACGGGACCGGGCTCCTAAGCACGGGGAGTGGGAACCGGGCTGCAAATAGGAGTGGGCTGTGCAGCACTGGGGAGCCGTAACTTGGCTGCGAGCGGGACAGGGCTGCCAAGCGCTGGCAGTGAGAGCCGGGCTGTGTAGCGCCGGGAGCATCCACTGGGCTGCAAAAGGGACGGGGCTCCCGAGCACCGGGTGCACGAACCGGGCTGCAAACGGGACTGGGCTGCGCAGCACCCGGAGCCCAAACGGGACGAGGCTGCCGCCAAGTACCGAGAGTTGGAACCGTGGTTGAAATAGGGCCGGGCTGCGCAGCACCCGGAGCCCCGACGAGGCTGCCAAGTACCGGGAGTAGGAACCGGGCTGCAAATAGGACTGGGCTGTGCAGCGCTGGGGAGCCTTAACTTGGCTGCGAGTGAGACAGGGCTACCAAGTGAGAACCGGGCTGTGTAGCGCCGGGAGCCCCTAATGGGCTGCAAATGGGACGGAGCTGCCAAGTACCGAGAGTACGAACTGGGCTGCGAACGGCACGGGACTCCTCAGCAACCAGGAGTAGGAACCGGGTTACAAACGGGATTGGGCTGGGGAGCCCAAATCGGGCTGCAAACGGGACGGGGCTCCCAAGTACCCGGAGCGCGAATGAGGCTGTGAACGGGGCTGCGCTGCCCAGCACCGGGAACCCAAACGGGGCTGCGAAGAAGGGGACTGAGCTGCTCGGAGCCGGGCACTGACTCAGCCGGTGACGCGCCGAGGGGCGGTCTCTGCCTCCTCCATATAACGAGGCAGCGGCCGTGCAGAGCTCACAGTGGCCTTTCCTGCGAGGGGAGGGGGCTGAGCAGCCGGGCACGCATCGCCTTCCTCCTCCTCCTCCTCCTCCTCCTTCCTCGGCGCAAGCTGCACTTCGCTTCAATGAAACTGGCAGCGATGATCAAGAAGATGTGTCCCAGCGAGGCCGAGCTGAGCATCCCCGCCAAGAACTGCTACCGCATGGTCATCCTGGGCTCCTCCAAGGTGGGCAAGACAGCCATCGTCTCCCGCTTCCTCACCGGCCGCTTCGAGGAGCAATACACCCCCACCATCGAGGACTTCCACCGCAAGTTCTACAGCATCCGTGGGGAGGTCTATCAGCTCGACATCCTGGACACGTCAGGCAACCACCCTTTCCCCGCCATGCGCCGCCTCTCCATCCTCACAGGTACTTGGGGGGAGCGCCAGGAGGAAAGGGGAGGGGGTCCCCAATAGCAGATTTCAGGTGTTCTTGCCCAGTTTGGGGGTGTTTCTCCAGACCTGGGAAGTGGGATTTTTGGGGGGGGTGGGCAACTTTGCTCCCTGCATGGGGTGGATGGGAGGATGCAGGAGCCACGTACTGCCTACTCCTTCCCTCCCCAAGCACTTAGCTTAGGCAGTGCGTCCCCATCCCTGCGACCATCTCACGTTGGCTCTTTGTCCCCAGGAGACGTGTTCATCCTTGTGTTCAGCCTGGACAACCGGGACTCCTTTGAGGAGGTGCAGCGCCTGAAGCAGCAAATCCTAGAGACCAAGTCATGCCTGAAGAACAAAACCAAGGAGAACATCGAGGTGCCCTTGGTCATCTGCGGCAACAAAGGTGACCGTGACTTTTACCGGGAGGTGCAACCCCGGGAGATCGAGCAGCTGGTAGGAGGGGACCCCAAGAAATGCGCTTACTTCGAGATCTCGGCCAAGAAGAACAGCAGCCTGGACCAGATGTTCCAGGCTCTCTTCGCCATGGCCAAGCTGCCCAGTGAGATGAGCCCCGACCTGCACCGCAAGGTCTCGGTCCAGTACTGTGACATCCTGCATAAGAAGGCGCTGAAAGGCAAGAAGCTGCTGAAGGAGGGGGGCCGGGGCAGCTCGGAGGAGGCGTTCGGCATCGTGGCCCCCTTCGCCCGGCGCCCCAGTGTCCACAGCGACCTCATGTACATCAGGGAGAAAGCCATCGGTGGGGGGCACAGCAAGGAGAAGGATCGCTGTGTGATCAGTTAGGAGCTTTGCCCACCATGGGAAGGAAGGAAGGAAAGACTGGGGGGGGGGGGGGGAGATGCTTGTTTCCGAATTGAGTTTGGGCAGGCACTCACCTAGAGAGGGGTTCGCCTCTTTCCCCAGCTTCCCTTATCCCAAGGCATTGCTTTCGTCATCTCCCTTTCCTCTGAGGTGGGGGGGATGGAGTTTGGGATGAAGGGATGCGAAGGGGGAGGCTTAGGAAGGGCAGAATGGGGATCTCCTTGGGAGCAGCCTCCTCCAGGCAGAGAGACAGGGAAAGGGTGAGCTGCTGGGCAGCCAGATGGGAGGATTAGTGTGGAGGGCATGGACTTTGGTGTTTCTTTCCCTCCCAAACCACCCAGCCTTCAGGAGGGGAGGGCAGGGACCTGCCAGCACCCACCTGGGGGTTTGGGGTTGGTTCCTGTTGGCTTGTTTTGTTCTCTTACCTTGAGAAGCTGAGCACGGACTCTGGCTCTGTGTCCTGTGTGGGTCTGTGTCTATGGAACACGTGCAGAAGACACTCCTAAGCTGTTGCAAAGGCATTGCAGGGTTACAGTCCCGATGGACCGAAACACTGACTCCTGTTTACATTCGTCTTGTCTCATTTGCAAGATCCAGGGGAGGGTGATGGTTGGGGGGGTGGGGGGACGGGACGGGAAGGGCTTTTCTAAGTGAGAAACCAATAGCACTTTATGTAGGTCTTGCTTGGCATTGACATGAACAAAAATCTCTTCAAGTGTTTCTACCGTGGGTGAAACTTTGATGTTTTATTTTTTCTACAAGTGAATAAAATCTTTTTCAAATGACACCTGTGGCTCCTCTCCTTTCAACCCGAATCCTGCTTCAACAAAGCCCAAACCCCGCTCTAAGGCGCTAAAACCCCTCTCAATTCAACCCTTTTATTTTACCCCCTTTTCTCCCAGTGCAAAGGTTTCTGGCTCTGCAAGCGGTCAGGGTAACAAGAGGCCACGCACGGAGTTACTCACTCAAACGTGTCTCCGAGCCAAGACTCTTTCCTCACTCCACTAACGCCAAGTGACGATGGCAGCAGCCCCACGCCGTGCTGGCCATTGGCATGTCGTTCACTGCAGCAACCCAGCAGCCTGACATCACATCGTTAGAAAGAGCTGCTTGTGTTTCATGCTTTTCCCCCCCATTAACTAAGCTTGAATGATGTCAACAGAGAGTGAGTCACTTGCACCCTGGTTGGGGTATTGTTTTGATTTTGCAATAGGAGTGAAGGAAGTGCTTTGCTCGAAAGGTCACCTTTGCATTTGATGGGGTTTAATCTCTTCTTAAGGAGTTGTTAGTAAGTATTGCTAGAAGGGAAAGCTCTTCAAAGAACAGCTCTTCCTGGCTCCGGCTTCTGCTGCGGTTTGCTTCCAGCCCCTTCAAGCAGCAGAACAAACACATATTAATGGCAAAGCGATTCTCCTGAAGCCATAAAATGAAGGTGGGCGAGTGAGACGCAAACCAAACCTGCCTCAGTTTCGGTTGAAACTTGGATTCAAGTTGCCAGAGTTAACTTGTTCCTGTGTTGAGTGCCAGACAGGTCTTTGGAAGCGCACTGTTTCTTCCAGCTCTGCATATGCCCTGATTTCATAGGAACAGCAGCTGGCAACAAAAGGCAAACCCCCATCCAGGAGTGAGATACGAGAATGTATTGAGCTGGGACAGGCAATGGTTGACAGCAAGGTAATTCCAGTAATAAAACGAGTGTACATTGTGCTGTGTTTATCTTGGTGGTGTGCTTTACTCAGAGGTTACACACTGGCACCTTCCCAACGAAAGTACTAGTAGAGTGGAGATAGAGTAATCTCTAGGCTCCAGGTGAGTTGCAACCATTCCAGCTTGCAGGGAGCAGGATTGCTTGTGTTTTGGGTTAGGAAAGGAAAACCATACACAAACACACCCTGCTTCTCTGCTTTTGAAGGCGTGAGTGTTACCCACCCTCTAACACTGGTTCTTAACAGATACTCTATTTCTCCTCTTCCACTACCAACCTGCACCATCTCTTAGAGAACCATGAGATTCAAGGTCCTGTCACATCTTCTATAGTCCACAAGACATGGTGCTGCTTATTGTCCTCTGCCACTGTGAGAGCCAACAGGAGGAGGACAGAGGCAGGGAGCCCCAGTATCCATCTGAAGGTGACACGACACTCAACAGCTTTCCATCAGCCACTGGCAACCGTTCTACTGCCCAAATGCTTGTGTTTGTGGGAAGCCCCCGGAGCACTTTGGAGGGGGAACTGACCCGTCCTGTTGAGCCTGACTTCTGTCACACGTGGAGTAGCTAAAAGCTCTTATCACTTCTGCCCTCTTGTTTTGATTCTGCTTGCCCTTCCTCCAAGAGGAAACGACCAAGGAGCCGGGCCCAGGCTACGCATGTCCTCTGTGCTGCCAAAGCCCTGCCCCAGTCCACATCCACTCAGTGAATACACAAGAGAGGCAGCCTGGCATTTCTAAATCTCTGCTTGCTTCACCTCAGACACAACCACCGCTTGTTGAAAAAGAGAGAAATACAGAAGCAATTGAAAGCAATCGTTCCTCTTTCGACACACAGACGGGAAAGTGTTCCAGAGCCCCTTTCCAGGAGCAAGGCCAAATGGCTCATGCTTCCCTCTTACATTCCCTCCTGATGTGTGGCCATTTTTAAGTGTAAAGAAACCCTGAATCAGAAAACGCTCCTTCTTCTTGCTGAGGGTAACCAGCAGGTATTTTGACCCACAGCGAGGAGAAAACATCGTGTCTCCTTGCTTGCTTCAATGTAAAGAAAACCAACCTCCCCTACCCAGAGAAGAAACAGAAGACGCATAAACGTACAGTCCTACAGCAGATCAAAGTGAGCATACCACTGTCATCATCACATGTGAAGCACAGTGTGCTGATTCAGTGCCACACGCCTTTGATCCACACAGGCACAACTTCAGAGCAACGCCACCGAAAGCAAGCACACAAGAAAGAGAAGTAAACTTCTGCCACCTTTATTTCTCCTGTTCAGCCAGGATAGAGGTATCTCAGTATCTCAGACCCGACAGCAGAGCTGCACCCTTCCTACTCCTTGGGGATCTCAAACATGCAAAGGCTCTTGTACTTCTGCAGCAGTTCATTTTTGGTCCGGACCTGCTCCCGCAGGCTCTGCAGCTGCTGTTGCTGCTGCTCTGGGCTCACGCTGATGCCAGGCATGGAGCTGATCAGCTTCCTCATCTCCTGGAACTTGTTCTTGAGCTCATTCAGCACCTGGTGAACATCCTGGCTGTCCTTGTCCATGCTGCAGAGGAGAGAAAAGCAAGACACCATTGAATTCTCCTATTGGAAACACCCCTTCAGCCTGTGGGGGTGACTGTCATTTCCAGTACCACCAAGGCTTAAACTGGAACTCACTGGGCAAATTTTGCTCTCGGTATCTAGCTACACACACCTAATTCACCTATCCTAATGAAATGGACACAGATAGATAGACAGACTGGGTAACCTCTGGAGCAAACTGGTTTCCTGCCAATTTCCAGTTACCTCAGGACCCATCAATGAGGTGAGGAGCTGGTCTGCAGCTTTAAAACATTACCATGGAGCAGGCTACATTCTCCCTCTGCTTGAACTCCCATCTCTCTCTTTGGGGAAGGTAAGATCCCATACGTGTGTTGTGTGTAGGCACCTGGAAAGAAAGCTCACAGTCTCACCCATGACCTGTTGCTTGCTGTAATACAACGGAAAAAAAAATCAATGCAGTCGAACAGCTTGACAGCAGAAAATAGAAACTGTTCCCCAAAGTATCCCAGAGCATCCAATGGCAGGGAAAATGGCACTTTGGAGCTTTCAAACGACTCTCTGGGGATGTATACCTCATAAAAGAGAAGCGACAGCTTATTTTGCTTGTCCTTTAAGAGCAGCACAATCGGTTCCGCAGCCAGCTCTGTGCTTTTCAAGCACCACCGTTGTCTGAGGCAGCGTCTGCCCTCAACCCCTCATTAGTATCTGCCTCAGCTTTGTTAGCACCGGCGAGAAGTTTCCCTGATTCCAGGCAAAAAGCAAGTCCCCGCTTCCAGGGCGCCTGTTAATAAGGAGAGAGGGATTCTAATGGTCTTTGACAACTCGGAGCCTGTTCTATAGCCAGATCTAAAAATAAACCTGCTTGGCATGACCAGGGTAGAGACAGGCTCGATTCTAAACTTGAGGGAATCGTGCCATGGCTGAGAGCAAAGCTTTTAACCAGATGGTGGCCGCTTGTTTCAGAAAGCCTGCTGGAACAAAACAGTCATTACTCCCTCCTAAAGCAAACTGCAGCTGGTACTAGAATGGAGCCCCATTATGCAGGCATTCCCGGTCGGGATGGCAGTGGAAAAGTACAGGCACACACACACGCAGGCTGATGGCATGGGATGGATGGGTTGGCGCTGCCTTTAAGCTATCAGTGCTGCAGGCTGGCTTTGAGAGGGATGTCCTTCCCGTTCCAGGCGTCCCCAAGCCTTGTTCCCTTCCCCACAGGTAGGGAGCTGTCTGTGTGGTTGATCCAAAGGGATCAGGTTTTAACCCTGATGGGTGGTTTTCCTGCTGCATCAAGCCACTGAAAGGACTCCTTCTCTGAGGGCACGGACAGGCAGGGGTGAGGAAGTGTGGGGAGAGACCGCCTGCAGTAACATGGGATTGAACACAACATCCAGCCACAGCCTGGGCTGATGGAGTGAGCATGAAACCTGCCTTAAGGCACAGTGCTCTTCATTACAGCACACCACAGCCCACCACTGGTGGAGCCATGTGCTGGGGCCTCAGCGGTGATGCCATTTGACTGTACAAGGTTGAAAATACCAACAAGCCCTGCTTGGGGAAACTTTGTCCGGACCCAAACAACAGGAAAGAGCACGTGTCCTTGAGTGTAAGCAAACTGATGGGATGTATCCTCGCTCCCAAGCAGAGTCACCTTGGAGATGTGTCAAAACAGCAGGGCTGGCATCCGTGTTAAAGAACAACACGTTTGCCATCTGTCAGGGACACATCCCATCACCTCTGAGGTCCTACCTGTCTGCAGCACTGCTCAGTGCACCTACATCTGCTCCAGCCACCCAGGAAATGCTGTGTGTGAAGCCAAGGAACACAGCTGGTTAGTGGGATGGCTGCTAATAGTGGGTGAGTCAGGAGACAGGGCACAGGATGTCCTAAGGACTGTTATCTATGGGTCAGCATGGCTTGCTCGGTGACAGACAGGAACTCTGGGAGGTCTCAGCTCATGGTTATGGCTCACTTCCGCACCTGCATGCACCCAGCAATGGGGTTTAGCCTCGCTTGTGTGGTCTGGATAGAACAGGCAGGGTTGAGGTTGGCACCATCAGCACAGTGGGGAAACTGAGGCGCTCAAGAGGGTTTGTGTTCTCACAGCCATTCTGTACCTGGACCAAGGTGTCCGGGGGTGCTCAGTCTTTCCTCGCCACAGCTCACATTGTGGAGCCATTAAGGGTGAACCTCTCTCCCCTTTCAAACATGCCTGATTTAAGTGAAACATCAGCAGGGCACAGCCCAGCCTCAGCTCCTAACTAAGCACACAGGGAAAGGACAGCCAGGACCACAACCGGCAAGTTGTTCCCATTCCCTCTGCCTCACTCCATAGCGTACAGGTGAAAGCCTGCAGGGATTTCCACAGCAGAACCATGGCCTTACTGGAACCTTCAGCATCCCTGAAGGAGTTATCCTGGGCCATACACAGCACAGGTCTCCGAACCTTAGTACAAGTACCTTTGACCTTACGGTACTTATCTTGACCCAGGATGAGAACAGCTTACCCCGTACCACCGCAGAAGCCGTCCTGCTTGTTACAGCTCCCCAGAAACGGGCTGTATCCCTGCCCCAGCACTGCCTGTACTTCCCGAGGCTCTTATCAGCCACACAAGACTCTTATCTGCAGCAATAACCCAGTGCGGGTCCAACACTCCTTGCTCCTGGCTGTTAATGATGGGGCAGTGTCCCTGGCCCATGGGAGCACCTGCACTGCTTGGGTGACCCAAACACCGTGCAGGCGCTGCCATGACTCAGCGCAGGGATGCACCTGGGGCTGTGCCAGCTCTTCCCAGGAATTCCAGCGGGGAGGGAAAGGGCAAAGGAGATGCCGGGAGGGGCGACCTCATTGCCCTGCGACTCATCCAGGGCACTTGAGGATGTTGGTGCTTGGAGAGTATAACCAAGAAGGGAGATCCCATCCACGGCACTCCAAGGATGCAGGGGGCTGGAGAGCATCGTTACAGGGTGATCCCATTGCCCTCATCCCTGTCCACCCTGAGGGTGTTAAAGCACCGTTAAAAGGGGGGCCCCATAGCCCTGTTCCCCACTCAGGGAGAGGGAAAGCATCATTTGAATGGGGGACTCCATTCCCATTCCCTATCCAGGGCACCCTGAGGATGTTGGGGTCTGGAGTACATCACTAGAGGGGGACCCCATTCCCCTGGTGGCAAAGCATCGTCAAAGGGGGGACCCCACTGCCCCACGGCATCACTGTGGGGGGGGGTGTGGGTGCGGTGCCGGGGCGAGGCGAGGCGAGGCCCGGTGTCCGCCGTTACCATTTGATGATGTCGTGGACGAGCGGCAGGAAGGAGAACTCCTGCGCGGGCGGCGGCTGCGGCGGCGGCGGCGGCGGCTTCGGCTCTGCGGGCGGCTCGGATGGCGGCGGCTCCTCGGCGGTGCGGGCCGCGATCCCCCCCGCGGCCGAGGCCATGGCGGACCCCGGCCGGCACCCGCGGCGCCGCGTAGTGACGGAGCGGGGCGGGCGGAGCTCGGAGCTCGGCCCCGCCGCCGCTGCCTCCGAGCCCCGCCCGGCTCCTGCGGCCGGCTCGGGTGGGCCTTGCCCAGGCGTGGGTCTCGGCCGGCAGCGGGCCGAGCCTCGGGCCTGCCTCGGGGCCGCTCTTGGGCCTTCCCCGGGCACTGGAGTGGGCATGGGCCGGCACCGAGGCGACCTCCGAGGTTGGGCCTAGGCCGGGGACTGCGCCGGGGCCTCGCCTGCGCCTTCCCCCGGTGTTGGCGTGGGCATGGGCCGGCACCGGGTCCACCTCCGAGGTTGGGCCTGGGCTTGGGTCGGAGCTGGCACCGCGGCCTGGGCCTTTCCTGAGCCTTGCCCTGGGCATGGTTCGGCAGCGAGTGCGCGCCGGGGCTGGGGCTGAGCCGAGCCTGGGGCTTGCGCTGGGCTCGGGCCGGAGCACGGGCAGCGCCCCTGCGGTGATCCCCCCTCGTGCAGCCCAGCGGCAGTGAGAGCAGAAGGGGTGCGGGACCCCCCACCAGCACCAGCACCAGCACCCCTGGTGTGCTCAGGGTATGCGCCAGCAGTGTGCCCATCCCTCCCTTTCGACCCAAAGCTGAGGGGAGAGATCCCCCTGTGCAGCGGTAAATCAGTCCCTGCAGCAGGGGGTTGCTGTCTCTGCTACACCCCGGCTTCCTTGTGTTGGTGTCCTTAGATTGACTTCATAGGGGGCTGAGTGATGGGGACGTGGTCTTTGTAATGCCTTAATGTGGGAGCAGGCTTTGTGCCTGTGGGCAGTGGGCATTAGTTTAGGGAAAACAAGCTGGAGCATTTGCTGAGAGCCAGGCTTGGAAAGTGGAGGGATTTGGAGGAGAAAATGCATAACTTAATGTTTCGTTGGAAATAGCCCACCCTGCTCAACAGTCATGGGCTGGGAAGGCAGTTTTCTTCTTTAAACCAGTTTCTTTTGAAAAGGCAAACAGAAGCTATTTACAGATCAAATGAGAACGCTGGTAACCATTTAACCACAAGGAATATTGACTCTTTGCTCTAAATATAGCAGATGCAATCGCTCACTTTGTTCCTGTTGTCAGGAATAGATCCCGGCTCGGGCACTGATGTTGGAATGTGCGAAGAAGGAGCCCAGGTCCCTGCGGAGAGGCTGGTGGTATTTATGGTCCTTCCCTGAGCCAAGCAGGAGGTGCAGGATGCTGCGTCCGTCGTGTGGGTCTGAGCCGGGAGTTTCATTTCTGTCACTCTTTATGGGCTGTTTCTAAAGCAAGACTTGATTCAGGCTCCATGGGGGACTCTTCCCTCTGCACTGTGCTGGGTTTAATTCTCCCCTTGACTTGATGGAGAGGGTGATTAACTGCTAGTGCCTGCCTCTGAGGGGTGAGTCAGGCAGCCCTTGGAGCAGGTGACAACGTGCAGATACCGTTCAGCTGCACCTAAAGCGCTGTCAATCAGGCTTGCTTTGTGCCATTCAGTTCTCATTTTGGGGTTTGTGTTCCCAGAGCAGCTGGAGCACAGCTTTATCTAGGTTGTGTTCCTTCCCATCACCTCCTTCTAGTGGAAACAGCTCCCTGAGGTGACCCAGCTCTGTCCTTTGGGGCTTGTCATGTCTCGTGGCAAATCCAGGGGAGAGTGAAGATGTTTGGGGTAGGGTTGTGGTTCAACAGGCTCCTCCAGCACTGGAGATGCTGGTGAATGGGTTGGATGAGACTCTGTGGTCACTGAGTATCATCCTGTGCAAGGGGCACAGTAGAGCTGTTGCATGTACCATGACAGCGTATCCATGTGAGGACTATAGGGCGAGGTGAGACCCTGCTGACAGGTCTGCAAGAAAGAGAAGACGTGATTTGAGGGGTGCACACAAGCGTTGACCTCTGAGGAGCTGTGCTGGTGGACCCTAATCTTCACCTGCCTTTGTGGAGCTCCAAGCTGGGAGGCCCTTTTCCCCGTGGGATAACTGATGGGACGATCTGGGTCACATCCTTATAATGCTGGTCCTAATAGGTATCGCCAACAACGTGGTCTTCCCCCTCCATGTCACTTTGTAATCCTATCAGCATCTCTGCCTTGTGTGGAAGGGCTGTGTCTGACCGGCCTCTCTTCTCATATGGAGCTGGTGGTGGTCTGCAAGCCTCCCTCATTTTCCAAGCAGGAAAGCTGGGATTTTTCCAACCACGCCATCAGTTCCTCAGCAGAAGGGTTTGAATGAGCAGCCTGTGAGAGCTCCTAGCGAGGCAGCTAAAACATGAACAAAGACACTGAGTGTTGAATGAGAAGGATAATTTCCCTCTGGATTTGGTAATAAACCGTGAAGAGCAAACGATCGACCTGTTCTTCTCCTTTGATTGGGGCTCTTTGTGTAATTCACTCCCTGGACAGCCAGTTTCTAAGTGTGTAAATGTCTCTGAACCATCTTATCTTCCACATCTTGAAGCCATCGTGCACTCATTGCTCATCCAAACATTTGGTTAACCCATTATCCTGAAACCCAGCTGAGCAAATAACCTCTGTCTGGAGCCTCTTTTGGTGGTGCCTGTTTCCTTTATGATACCAATGGTGTGCTTTCATTTCTGTACAAATTGTGCCTCTTGTCTGCTTCCAGAGGTAACTTGTGAGGGATTTACCACCAGCCCCTTCATTCAGTGCCAGGTAACTCTGTACCTTTCACCTTTTCCTTACAATGACTCCATGTTTTTATATTGATGGGCTGGCATTTCACTGGGTTCTGCTGCTCGCCGCCAGACCATCTGGAGCTTGTGCTGTTGCCATCAGTTCTGTTATCATTTTTAATATGTGGCTATCACCAGGTTGAACTTTATCTCTTCCTCCTGCACTGAGTTTTCTATTTAAGCCTTGCTAAGCTGCTGTGGTGGGATAAGCCTGTATTGCTCAGCTGGGAGGTGACGTCAGGGATGTGGCCACCTGGGATGGGGTGATAGGAATGAGAAGTTACAGCTCCAGCAGCACAGGAACATTGGACCTTTTCCTTAGGTCATGGCAACTGCTCAGGTTCCTGGCCAAGAACCCCTTAATTTTGACCAGGTGGGAATTTGGTCTTGGGCTCTGCCCTGTCTTGAGTCTTGGTGTCATTTAGGGACCGTTTCAGGGCCGTGCTGTCCCAGACTTTTTTTGGAGTCATAAGCTGAGCTCCATCCTTTGAAGCAGTGTTTTAACCAGAGAGGCTTAAGGCCATGGAGTTCTGGCTTCCCCAGACATGCCCTGCAACACCACATGCTCCCAAAGCTGCTGGTGGCCCAGGTACCATCAGGGTTCGGGATCCATCTGGTGTGAACAAGCAGGACCAAATGCATCCAAACCCACCCCAGTGCCTTCTGGAGCTCGCTATGCTTTGGCAGCGCTGCTGGGGAAGCTTCTTCAGTGGAGAGGAGGACTGTCATCCATGGCTAGCGAGATGCCATCCTCTGGGAGAGTGACATCCTCCAGTGCACAGGACAGAGCCTGGTTGGTGTTGGAACTGCAGGGCATTGGCCTGGCCGTGAAGGTCAGTGCTTTGGTGCACTGAGCCTCAAGGGGAGAGAATGGGGATGATTCAAAGGCACAGGGAGTGGCCAGGGGATCTGGTGATGTTCAGTGATGCCACCATTGAGCAAACACAGGGGCTGGACCAGGCTGCGTGCCACCCCTGGAGAACCAGTGTGTGGGCAAGGGGAACACAGGGCTGCTTGTGCAAGGACAGCTACGCAGAAGCCTGGATCCAGGACGGCACACAGCCAGATTAGCTGCAACCTGGCCCATCTCCATCTTTGAAGCTCGCTGCCTCTGTCGGGCAGCTCTGTGCCCATGAGCAGCATGAGGTGTTGGGTCTTTGGAGCCACCAATTCCTTGCAGGGTCCCATCAGGTCATTCCAAGCTGAGGTTGAGTGTTCCTACCCAGTGCTAAGAGGAGAAAGTCGCTTTGGGGATACCTCCCCCTGCAGAGGGAAGTGCCCTTGGTACCACTGGCTAAAACCAGCCTCATCCCTGCTGGCTGGCATCTGCAGCACAGTGACAACAGCATCCCTGCTATTACTTACAAATGAGCCACAAAACACACGAGGCAGCAGCATTTGTGCTCGAAGCATTGCCGCAAGAGCCTGCCCCAGTGTCCCAACCTCCTGGATGCACATCCTGCATGTGGGGAAGGTGATGGGGTAGGGCAGCACGTACGTGTGCATCCCTATGTGCGTCTGTGTGCTCGTGCATCCGTGGCTCCCACTGTTCAGGGGGCAGACTTATCAAGATGAATTTATCTGGCTGCCAGTAGCAGACTTGCTAATGGGGTTGCATTAAGGGCCTTACTGAAATCCCTGCTCCCTTTCTTGGTGTTGTGCTTATTCTGCTAAAGTGGGTCAGGCTTTGTTTGTGTCTTCGTCAGGTTCCCTTCACAGAGCGGCAGCAAAAGCCATTACCTGATGTTGGAGCGCTGCAAAACGGTGCTCTTTGGTTATTTAATGCAGGGGGCGAGAGGAAAGGAGCTTTGTTTGGACTTTGTTTCGGCACATTTAAAGTGGCATCAGGGGAAGATTTTAGCAATTACCACTCCAATTGGCCTAATTACTGCAAACAGGCCCATTTTATAGGGGCTTTGCAATATAAACCAGGTGTCCTTGGAGAATGCAGTTTATGTGCCAGAGCAGTGGGTTTCTGGGGCAGCACTGGCACTGGTGGGAGGTGAATCCCTCTTGCAAATGAAGGCACTGGGAGATGGGGAAGGCTCCATCCAGCTTCAGTGAGAACCCATTTAATCCTTTTCCTGCCTGGAGCATCCCGTCCCCCTCCTTGGCCACACCAGCAGCTCTCACCCGTGTTTGGGGCTGTTCACGGTCACACGTCCCTGGCCTCAAGGAGCCCAGTTTGGCAAGGGTTTAATGTTTAGCCACTGATAAAGGGCATCAGAGAGGTTTTGCTGACCAGGTAGCGAAAGTTTCCCGGGAATTTTGCTGGCTCTTGCAGCACAAACAAGGCAGGGATGCTTTGCTCTGCTTGCTTCCGATAAAGTTCTCAATGGAAAACGGCCTGGGGTTTCCTAGAACAGGCTCCCCACATCCCTCCAGCTCCTGTTCCCTTGCTCCCCTTGGGTATCAGCTGGTGATCTGGAGCTCAGCTGTATCCCAAAAGCCTTCTTGCCGCTCTGTTTCATCCAAGGAGGAGTTGTTTCTCGGCCTGGGATTGGTTTTGGCTGCTGGGGCTTGCTTGCTTCAGAC